TGTGAGGAAGCAAGGTTCAAATCTGAACCCATCAGCTCCTCAGTGTCTGAAATCATGTTCAACTTGCATACAGTTTTGAAAATTTTAAACCAGACTGATTTAGGGCTCATTTAGCCTTAAAGACCTAATTTTCTCCATTTCATTTTTCTACTGTTGTCTTTGTCAATTGAAAGCTAAGTACATTTAGTTTCAGAATTTCATGCTGGCATAGAAAACACTCGTGTTAAAAATTACTATTAACACTGACACCATAAAATAATAAGACATTAAGAATACCTATTATCATACATGGTTCTGGTTAGTAGATCAGACCTGATAAGGAGAAGCATGAAAACCCTTTGCTAATACAATAAATACTTTTATTGTTAAGGCATTTTGTATTTTTCTGTATCTGGCACGTGAGTACACTTAAAAATGACTGAAAGGGAAATGTCCATTATTTGTCTTTTATTTAAGGTGTAGAAATGGATTATCCTCCAGTACAGAAGTATATTCCCTTATTTAGCATAATTCACTTGATGAACCTTTGTGCCAGACACACCACCAGGCTGCCAGGGCAGCACCTACAAGGTCATGCATTTTGCCCTGAAGACAGAATTTGGCTCCTGTTTTGTCTGCCTGAATTTGCCTTTTATACAGGCCCATACATACATATGTACATACATACACACAAACGGGACTGTAGTTGAGATAAAACTAATAGCAGTAGGATGGAGAATTTGACTTGAAGGCTACTCAGATTTCCAGGTATGTTTAAATTCATTATTTAAATCAGTGGAGAAGTAATTTGCTGGCATATATTGATACAGACACACAAGGGAAGACGACCTTTATGATTTAGCCCATTATATCTGCAAGTGCTAATGTTGCCTTAGCACAATCTATAATCAATTCCTGAGATGGAACTGGAAAATATAACTCAAGTGTGACTACTGCCAGTGCACTTTGATAAAACGCCACACGAATAGGTAATGCTTCGTAAAGGCTGGCATTCAAAAGGCTCAGGGCACCTCTTCAGAATCCTCTCATTTACTTCCTTTACATGGCAGCTTTCTACACTTAAGCTTAAATTGCCCCATAGTTTAACAGAAGAAGTAGTACCACCATTCATAGTTGTTTTTTTTTTTTCTTATACTCAAAGAAATCATATTATCAAAATTGTATTTGAGAAGGAGTAATTTATCTTCATGAATTCCATGTGTGTATGCAATTCTTTTTTTATTTTTGTTTGCAATGTGCTAAAATGAATTTTAATCACACATTTGATGAATTACAGATGTTATTCAAGTATTTACCAGCATTTTTGTGATTTTTACATAAACATTTTTATTACTCAGAATTATCTCTGAATTTCTTTGAGCTCTGAACATTTTATATAAGCAATCACTGACTAGTACTTTCTATTCTTATTGGCAAATTAGACTTATGCATGAGTAGTTGGGATGATTTAGATAAATACTCACTGCACAATTCCAAGTTAACATCAGTAATTAACTTTTATATATTTTCTAAGTTAAAACCTTGGGGGAGGGGAGGAATTGTTTGTCCTGGGTTTAGCAGTAGCAGTCAATCTATCTGCTATTTGAACAAACAAAAAGTTCAAATAAGGAATTAAGAGTTATAAGTACAGTTTACAAAAATTTGCTTTTTAATAAAGAAAATAATTTGTGGAAATTCTTTTTATAGCGTTTCATGGGTAGTTTTTATCGGCAGCATGGGGATCCCAGTTACATCTTGGATCTTTTTTAATGCCTGTGCATTTTGGCCTTACCTAAGGCTAAAATCCCAATCTGTATGTGTCCTAACTTTCTCCACTTAGTAATTTTTCAGGATGATTGTCAAGTGTTAGTGAAATAAGAAAAAAAACAAAACAAAACAAGCCCAAGTCTTAAAGATAATTAAAATCCCACAATTTTCAGGGGTGGAGAGCCAAATTAATATCCCCAGGGAGAGGAATGTGGCTAGAATTCAGGCATCCTGAAAGGAGCTGGCTGGGGTCAGCCAAAGAAGGTAACAGGAGACAAGAAGAATAGGGAAATTGGAGCTGCAGTTGAAATCGGTAATCTTACAGTACAAATAAAACAAGATTTCCAAAGGAAAGCTGGCTTTACTAGTTCTAGGTCTTGAAGCATTATGTTTCTGCTAGTTGGTAGTTTGTGTGACTTTTTCATTTAAAAACAAGAGTGCCATGATTTCAGTTTCATCAGATTCCTAAGAGTGTAGGCACAAGAAAAATAAATAAAAGTGAAGAAAAAACTTGCAGACACAAAAAAAATGTATATTCTTTTATAGCCAAGTCCTTAGAGGAGAGCAACACTGTTTAAGATTAATGATAGTTTATACTTTGGAAGTTAATGCAGTGTACACAATCAATCCATATTTGAACCAAGTTGCAAGGAAGTGTCCTCATAAAGCCTTTGTATGTAGTTCAGAGTTGCAGACTTCAAAGGGGTAAACTTGCCTTTAAAGCTTTCTGTGTTAGAGCTTACACAGGATTTTTCACGAAATTCCTGAAAAATAGTTGAAGCTTTAAAAAAAAACCAATAAAATAATCAGAGGTGGATTAAAACCAAGAATATGTTCAATCCCATCTTCTTCATACAGGGGAAGATTTATAGGTATATAATTGCAATATTTAATGTGTTTAGTTATCAATTTACTCCTCTCATTTTTCTGGAATTAACTCCCCTTACTCTTTGTAAAATGTCAAAATTGAACACAATATCAAGTATGTGCTGAATGGAATGAAAGCAGTGTATTATTGAACCTACAACCATCTGACAGATCACACAGAAGTACCTAGTTGTATCAAAGGGAAATTAACACAAGAAAACATAGTATCACAAATTACTGACATGCTTTGTCACCTCTTTCTGACCCTGGATGTAGCCAAAAGTTAAAAAGCCACCATCTTTTGAGCTATCAGAAATGCACTGAGAAATGGTTAACAATTGTATCTGATCCTCTCTGGTCACCTCCTAGCTTCTACAAAGCTGCTATTTTCTTACTTTCTTAGTAAGGACAGAACAGTTGCTGTGGTCCAATTACCTGTCATTAATAAACCAGATCCTCTTGAAAGATTTGAAAAAAATGCAATTATAACTTAATAAGTTGTGATGTATATGCCTATCCACGGAATCTTGCATGGAAAATAAGAAATTCTGAGTCTTTGAATGTTGGACTGTTTATAGTTCTGTCCCATCCATTTTAAAGGAAAGCAGACATATGTGCAAAATATCATAATAGGATCAAACAGCAAGTTATTCTATACAGCTGCTCTGCAATATCCTCTGAAGATATGAAACTGAGTTGACAGAAAACTTTAGAATGGAAACACAGTTAAAGAAGGTCTTTTCTAAAAAGATGAATGCTTTGAAAATCTACCCTCCCGCTCACATTTTAAACAGTGTGCAACCTTTCCATCATACATCACTACATGTTGCAGTATGTGGTTATGACTATGTTACTAGACAGAAAACTGTATAAAATGTATTCATCCAATACATTTATTCATTCCTTCATTTTTTAAAATTGTTAGAATAACGATCCCAGACCAGGGTGAAGGCTTATTTCAGTTCTAACCACAAAATTAGTAAAACTCCATAACAAAGTTGATGTAGAAAGAAAGAACATTGATAGAGCATAGCCATTCATCCAATTCTGCTAATTTTCTGACCTCTTCTTTCTCTTCTCTGCTCTGTTCCCTGATTAGTAGAAGCCAAGGAAATCAGTGGCAATCCTAACCCATAGCTGAAGAATTTCTAAATGGCCACAGTGCTCATTCTTCAAGCAAGAGAGACATACACTACATATACCAGCCTTTCCTTTTGCTGGAAGTGTTCCTTAGAAGGAAAGACATTATTTTGTTAGTCTGGTGCCATAATAATGCTCCTATTAATATTTCTTTTGAAGCTTCTCTCGTCCTTTAAATTGACATACTGCAAGTACACATATGTTTAAGAAAAATAATTAATAAAAATCAAACATTACTGATCATACAGTCATAAATGATACATCACAGTTGTCTGGCTGCAGTCTGAATAGGCAATAATTGCAACAATGTAGTTAACATGGAATGGCAGCCAGGTAGGTGACTCTTCATGGCAATGTCTTTAGATTAAATGTGTAATCCTTAAATAATTTCCAGCCTTAGTTCCTGCACATATTTACAGATTCCAAACTGTTCCAAGCCAGGTTAAAGTATTTTTTTGTATCTATGTACTTTGCAATTTTCTGTGTTATGGTACTGTAAATATTCCTGAGCCATGGATGGCTGTTTCACTATATCCACATCTGTTTTCAACACTAAAAATCTCTTTAGGCATACTGGATGTCTCAAGCAGAATAAATCAGCTGAGATAGCCTCAAATGACCTGAAAACTTTTTCAGTACTTAACTGTAATTTAGACAGTCTTATGGGGCTACTACGGTTACTACATTATCCCTGGACTGCCCAGGGTATCAGAATTTCTGCAGTGCTGTGATTCCACCCTAGGCATGCTTCCCAAACCAGAAGGGTCCCAGAATGCAGCCTCTAGCTATCTTCCTTAATTACTACACTTGAGAAAGTTTCCCCTTGCCATATTTGGGTAGTTATAAATTTATACCATTTCAGACCATTTGCCCAACAGAAAGTAACAGGAAGAGAGAAGAGATTCTTGTTTGCTGTCAGGAAGTTATTTCTTTCTCTAAATAGTCTTTTGAAAGATTGTTTCATACAGTTTGAACAGGCGCACATGCCAGTAGTCACCAAATACTAAAAGGTCTAAAGAATTCAAGTGTTGTTAAATATCTTACCAGTTATTAAAAAAAAAAAACAAAACAAAAAAAACCAACAAAAACACAAAACACAACAATCAAACCGAAACCCAACAACCCAAACACCTGCATATGCAAGGTTTTTTCATACTTTGAAAAAATTGGAAACCCCTCAGTCAACACAGCTTTTTGAAAGAAGTTTCTTTGCACCAAGGCACTGTTTTCCCCATGCGGTCACTCACCAATATTTATAAGGGAAGGCCACTTTGAATGCCACCAGCAGATGAAAAAACAGGAGGAAGGAAGGGTTTTCTGTCTTCACTGAGCTGGCTGATTCTGCCAAAGTGATAGCCGACATTGACATTACACAAGAGAAAGGCTGTTGTAGTCTCACAGTCCCAGATCTGCTGCAGAAACAAAACCAAAACAGAAAGAAAAACATATGTGTATACTTTTCAAATAAAAGTAATGCCAAAACATTAAAACTCTGATCTCTGGAATATAAATAACACTTAATCTTGGCTTTGAAACAGTAGCTCAAATCTGCTTGAAAAACAAGATTTAAAAAGACCCCTAAGAAATTGAATATCCTTCTGTAAAATTAATACTTCGAGGGTTTACTGGAAATAAATGGCCATAAACATCTTATGTACTCAGCTGGTGGTAGGAGGCAGACAGAAATTACAATTCTGTAAAAATAAGGAAAAGCTGAGATCTGAAGTGAAGATTTTATGCAGAATACATGGCAAAGATTGACAGGAAATTTTATAGGCGAACATGGCTATAGGTGAATGTGGCCTACGGAAAACTTAAGGGAAGGGTGAACGAATAATGAAGGATTCCTATTTATGCATTTATTTATTTATTTCATTTTCCTAGCATCGTTGTGAATTATTACCTATACGCTTGATACGTCCTAAAAGAAAAAACTGTGATGAATAAATAAACAGCTCTAGAAATCTTCAATAGGGTCCTTTACCTTGCAGGGAATATTATCATTGGCTTTTGATACAATTTCTGCTGCAGGGAAAGACTTTCAAAGCTCAGAATGCAGAAGTATTGCCAGGCACTCAAAGACCCCCTGCTGTGCGCGTCAAACTAAGAAATCTCTCTGAACTTGTCGAATTAAAAGTCATCTCTCTCTCTCTGCAGCCCCTGCATGAGCTGGGAAGCTCTGTCCTCATTTTTTTAGGCCTTCCATGATAAACAAATGGAGCCTGAAGCATCTTTATTCTTTTCAGGCACATAATTAAAATTCTTTAAAAAATGTAATTGAAGGCAATGAATTTCAAAAGGAGGTTCTAGTTAACAAGGAGGCTAGAACAGTTTCAGTAGGCCATATTGCTTTACTGTTCAATTTTGTTTCAAAGGTAAAAGCAAAACAGCCTGTTAAGATCGTAGGTGTTTTTTGTGCATTTTATTTTTTTTTTTTTAAATTTATTTTGTTTGTACATTGAGAGGTGGCTCCAAACTCAAACATCTCAGCAGGATTTATGCTTTCTGGAATGTCATAATACTTAATTACTGAAACAGCAAAGAGGAGTATGCTACTAAAATATGAACAAAGCAGAAAGCATTCCTGGTTTCTCAAAAATCATTATTTATATATCCCCTAAAAAATTAAAGAATGTAGTTATTGAAGAATTTGTATTTTCTTGCCATGCCTCTTTCATACATCCATACCATTGTAAATACTTGCAGGCTTGCAAAATTTTTTAACCTGGTAATGCTAGAATGCTACTTTTCTGTGATCACTATTGCTGTAAAAAAAATTGTAATGATTACTTTTAATAGGCATTTTTGATGTTGCCAAGAAAAGAGCAAGTACTGATATAATGAATAATTTCAGATTAATATAACAGGAATGAAAAACTATCTCTTTGGATTTGAATACCAGGGATTATCACACAACATTAACTAAAAGGCAGAAGACAAGACAGTGTTTCAGAAAGTCACCTCTAAGGCGACTTCCTAGAGAGCTCAAAATCTAAACCTAATGCTTCTGAGTATCTCTTTCAGGGGGATTTTCAGTATCACTCTCTATTGAAAGGAAAAATCTTCAGTTTTCACCTGTTTCTTTCCATGCTGTGTTCTTAAACTGTACTTCTGGCTATAAATGACCATATGAAATGTTTTGTTTTGGTTTCTTTTTTTTCTAGTTACTCCCTAGAGAGACTGGAGATTGAGATGTTTTAAGGGAAATTTTTTATGATTCTTGTAGCATTAAAAAGAGAAAGGTGTAGCAAGGCAGCAACTACTCCCACAACTCCTGGGTAGCACTCTTCTTCTGATAGTTATGATGCCTATGGGAGACCTGAAACAACATAGCTAACAGCTGTTTTTCATCCTTGGTAGGGGGAAAGTACAGTATGCATTCTGACTGGGTCAACAATTATTCTGACCGGTAGGGAGGTGGAAAGAGGATCCAGTTAGCTCCCCTGGAAAAAACAACGATGAACTAGATCTAGCAGAAGCAAACTGAGGCTTTGACTACACTATCAAGTTATAGCTCTGCTGGCCAGGAGTTATTTCTGTCCTAGTGTGGTTTTGGTTATGTTTTATATTTTAAAGTCAACACTTGTGTACCATAGGGCACAGCTCATTGCAGAGGTCATACTGAACAGGCAATATAGGGAACAGTGCAGCAAGTTTGGCTCACTCCATTTTCTGCAATTTTCTTGTATTACCTCAGCAGGTTTTAAATACTCAGATTCCCACATGCCTTCATCTCACACCCAGAACACACAACATACAGCTTCAATTTTCTATTGTGCACATGAAACTTTCACAGACTGCACAGAGCCCATCACATCATGCTCTAATCTGGACAACATTAATAACAAATAATGATCATAGAATCATAGAATCATAGAAGAGTTAGGGTTGGAAAGGACCTTAAGATCATCTAGCTCCAACCCCCCTGCCATGGGCAGGGACACCTCACACTAAACCATATCACCCAAGGCTTCGTCCAACCTGGCCTTGAACACAGCCAGGGATTGAGCATTCACAACCTCCCTGGGCAACCCATTCCAGTGCCTCACCACCCTAACAGGAAAGAGTTTCCTCCTTATATCCAATCTAAATCATCTCTTAAATCCATCAAGACACTACATTGGCACAGGAGCAGTAGGACCAAAGGCTAAATCACAGTTTTCTAGCAGTGTGTTGTTTCCCAGAATGCAGTCTACTACTACAACCAACCAAAAGAACAAGGCAGTTCCTACTATGGCTTCAGTATCCATGTAAAAGTGAACTCTTCTTAGCCTTCCCTTCAGACATATTAGGATAATTTTTGAAAATGTATTTATTGTCTTTATTTTTAATTGTATAGAGTAACTTAATGTGCCATGAAATCAACAAAATCCATGCATGAACAAAACCTATAAAACAAAACATAGTCAAATTAGTATTTTCAAACATCATTTCTGCTATAAAACTGAATTAATGAGAGCAATGTGATTTTGAAAAGAAACTCATGCCACAATTTGCTCTGTAGAATGTGAAGGACATGGGACAAAAAAAAAAAAAAAAAGTTAAAAAGAGACTGTATCTGATGTTTTAAGAAAAAAAAAAGTGAGGCCCAGCATGAGTATTTAATGTCTGTTTGCAGAATGAGTAAAGGTTTCTTTAAGTTCACTGAGCACTCACTGTAAAGTTTAGGGAAGATCAGTAGCTTAGAAAAAAGTGGCTACTGAAATATGAGTCACATCTATGAACAAAAGTGATCAAAGTCTACTTGGCTGCCAGTGTCTTCAGTTTATTCCACTGCAGTACACATATTACTTGACTGAAAGGTGTGTAGATATAAGGCATCCAGGTGTCTGCCTACTGTCACTGGGCCTGAAATTCTCATCTGTTATGTCTGACTTCCTTTATTGATTTCTTTTTCCTAAGCAGCAGCAGCTGAAGTACTTTTTATAACATTGGGGAACACATTTTCAATAGAATAAATTCATATAAATTACCCTCTCCCCTCTAAGCCAGAATTATTTTAATAGCTGTGATAAATCCCAAATTCTCGAAAGCCTGTTTCCACTTATATAATGATATTATGACAGCAATGTTATATAGTCATATCATAAATTCTTATGCAACTTGAGGATCTCAGACACCCTTTTTAATGGAGAAGAAAAAATATCTTTTTATACCATTGTCGCATAAGAGCTTAATGCAAGTAATTTTTTCTTTCAAAAGCCACTTGCTACTTATAAACACATACCTCTTATATGCCATAAACCAAATATGTAACTTGGGTAGAAAATTAGGAAACCTACAGCAAAACTTTCCAAGATACAGTTTTGATCCAGTAGTTTAATGTTCTGTGTACAAAACTGTGGACAGATGTTGTCTTGATAATTTGAGGTACTGCTATTTCAGAAGATGGCAAAAGAGCAAGTAAGTGAATGCAAATCCAAATTCTGAGTTCTATGGGAAGTATAAGAACAAGACAGAGTATTTCAGCTGGTCTTTCTTTTCAAAATAGCCCCATTTTCATTTCTTAACATACAATTTTCCATATAATGCACAAAGTTAGTGTATATCCTCCTTATTATTCCCATGTCTAGATTATTTAGATTAATACAGATTCATGGCTTTTCCAGTCTAATATTAGATCATATATTCTGCAACTACACCAAAACATAACTTTGTAAGTTAGATTTAAAACAGAGATTAAAACAGCACCAAGGGGAACAGAAGAGAGGAACTAGTTAGCGAATTTTGATATCAAATGATAGGCTACATAAATTCAATTGAAAATATTAAAAATATAAACGTAACCTTATAAACAAGTTCATTCCCTCACATTAGTACTGATTTTAGTGTTCCAAATTCAGTAGTAATCACAAAGTAAGTAAAAAAAATGTCAATAAGTGTTTCACATTGTTCTTTCTCTCCCTCATGAATGTAGGCAATAGGACTCTCTCCTCAAAACTATTTAATATTAGAAATTACCTGAAGTACTTGAAAATTTCACTTACCATGTATTTTGAATGAGATATTAGTAGATGGCAATAAGGGAATTGATCATATCAATAAAATAGACCTTGTTTTCATTATCATGCACTTTAGCTATTAGGGCCAAGGTCTTAGAAACAAGTTAAGAGTAGGAAAGGAAAAACCACTTCTTTTCTGGCAATACAGTCTCTATATAAAAATAAAAAAAGTAAAATTTTGAGTGAAATCTTTCTGATGATTTTTTATTGGATCTATTAAGCAAGCATACCACTATAAGCAGGTGCATGTTATAGAGTGCAGAAGGTCTGATGCCCTTTCCAGCACAAAAATGAAGAAAGGAATCGATAATACTTGGCAGAAGAACATAAGCCTGTGTCAAAGTAACTCATTTCCACGGTATCTTGATGTATTTGCTGTTTTCTTTGAGTTGTTATTCTCTCATGAACCT